ATGGCAAAGTGAAGAAGTTGAACAGAAAATTTCATAGGGTAGTTTTAGAAGGCAAACCAAAATATTATAACGAAATATGCAAAGAGCTGAACTTAGAAAATCAGAAGGGAAGAACTTACTCAGTATTCCACAAGCTGAAAGAACTGAAAAACAAACTCAAGCCTCTAGTTGCAATATTGAAGGATGCTATTGGCAAAATTTTGCCCATTACAGGAAGCTTCAAAATAAGATGGAGAGAATACAAAGAGTCAATGTGCTAGGAAGAATTGACTGACACAAAATCAGTTTAAGAGGCAAACTATAATTAGAATTAGGTGAAGCTTGTGTTGTTGTTGTTGTTGTTATGTGCCATCGAGTTGTTTGCAACTCAAAGCGACCCTATGTACTACAGCCCTAAATCCTGTTCTATCCTGTGCCAATCGCATTGCCTCTGACACACCCATCCTGATTACCCCAGTCATTGAATCAATCCACCTCATAGAGGGTCTTTCCTTCTTGAGCCGTCCCTCCACTCTCCCAAGCATGATGTGCCTCTCCAAGGATGGATCCCTCCTTACAATATGCCTAAAGTATGTCAGACAAAGTCCCAGAATCCTTGCCTCAAAGGAGTAGCCTGGTTTAACCCTCTCCAGGATGAATCTGTTTGTTTCCTTGGCAGTCCAGGGTATATTTAATACTCTTCTCCAGAACCACAGCTCAAAGGCATCAATTCTCCTTCTATCCTCCTTAGTTATTATCCAACTCTCTGATGCATAACAAGTGATTGCAAAGACCATAGCCTGTATCAGATGCACCTTATTCTCCAGAGTGACACCATTGCTCTCCAGTACCCTGGAGAGGTCCCTAACAGCCAACTTTCCCATTGCAGTGGGAAGATACTAATTTCCAAATGGACTGGAAGGGATTAATATTTGTTTTCATTACCAAAAAATGTGATCCAACAGAACATGGACATTTTTGTACAATATTATAAATATTACATCCAAATGAAATCTTACTGAAAATCATCCAAAAATAGCTGGAGTAGTACATCAACAGAGAATTTTTAGAAATTCAGGCTGAGTTTAAAGCAAGCATAGCACCAGGACTATTATTGCTGATGTCAGCTGGATCTTGGCTGAAGGCAAAGAATACCAGGAGAAGGTTTATTTGTATTTTATTGACCACGCAAATGACTGTGTGGATCATAACAAATTTTGCCTAACATTGAAAAGAATGGGGATTTCAGAACACTTAATTGTGCTCATGAGAAACCTTTATTTAGACCATGAAGCTGTTGTCTGAACAAAGCAAGGGAATACTGTATGATTTAAAATCAAGAAAGGTATGCATCAGGACTCCATCCTTTTTCTATACTTATTCAATCAATATGCCAAGCAAATAATTTGAGAGGCTGGACTTTATGAAGAAGAATGTGGCATCAGGATCAGGGTAAGCTGCATCAACAACTTGCTTTATATATAATGTAGATAACACAACCTTGCTTGCCGAAAATAAAGAGGACCTGAAACACTTTTAGCATAAAATCAAAGAGTATAGCCATCAATATGGATTTTATCTCAGAATAAAAAAGATGAAATTACTCACCACTGTGTCAATAGGCAACATCATGATAGATGGAGAGAAGATTAAAGTTGCCAACGATTTCACCTTGCTTGAATCCACAATCAACACCCTTGGCACCAACAGTTAGGAATTCAAAAGACATAGTACATTCAGTAAATCTGCCATCAAGGATCTCTCTAAGGTGTTAAGATGCAATGATGTCATTGAAAAGACTAAGGTGCATCAGATTCAATTCATGTTCTTTTCATTATTTGTTATGCTCTGAAAGTTGGATGACAAATAAGGATGACAGAAAAAAAAAGATGTATTTGAATTGTGATGTTGGAGAAAAGTATCCCATGGATTTTCAAGAGAACAAACAAGTATGTCTTGGGTAAAGTACAACTAGAGTGTTCTTTGGAAAAGAGGATGACGAAGCTTTGCCTTAAGTATTTTGGGCATATTGTTAGGAGGAACATAAATGTTTTAGAAAGGTCAGCAGAAGAGATGAAAACCCTCAACAAGGTAGATTGCCACAGAGACCATAACAACCAAGTCTATTGGAAATGATGAGGATGGCACAGCATAGGGCAAGGCTGAGATCCATTGTTCCTGGGGTCGCTGCGAGCCATAGTAACTTAGAGCACCTAGCAACAAGAGTGATTTAAAAAATAAAATAGTAAATAATTTATTGTCCACCATTTTGTTTTGAAATGTGTGGATTTTGATATCCCTAATTAACTTGATGACAGGTTTTTTACCTCATTAATTGTTCAGAGTATAGAGGGTTCTTGATAACAAAATTTTGGCAAATCAATGCATCATTTTATTCACTATGTTATGGCTCCTAATCTAAAGTTTTAGTACAATAGTCACCGTTTAGCACAGGTCAAAGCTTGCTGCATAATTACAACGAGATTTTAAGAACTGTCCATCACTCCTGCCGCCCACCCCCATGTCATCCCATTGGAGTTAACTGTATCATTCAGTATGGGAGATACAGCCTAGCTTATAGAGGCTCTGGCCATGTTAGATATCACAATGTTCCCACTTCCCTTACTCTTAACCAGGCTTTGATGACACTGCAAAAGCCACAACATTGTGGGGAAAGGTGAAGATTTACCTCTAGACAGACCCGAGACTTAGCCATTCTCCCTGAGTGTTCTGAGTGCCATAAGGCTAGCTAGAAAGCTCTGAAGGGGTAGCATGGATTAATAGAACATGGTCAGTTTGGAGTGAGGCCAGTTTCTACCTTCCACCTGTGTTATTATTGTAGGCAAGCCTCTCTCTGCTTGATTGCTGTTCACTGGTTTGTAAAGTAAGGAGGTAGTCCCCTCCCATGCTATGATGAGTGGTCTGATGAGGTGTAGGAAATGAACTTGTCAGCATCACACAGACCAGGAAGAAAGACCTGATGACCTATTTGTGAAGGCCAGCTGGTGAAACCCTTGTGGATCACAGGAGAACAGCCTCAGCTTTGAGCAGCCTATCAAGAGAGCTCAATTGCTGGGGAGGATTTTCTATTTGGGAAACAGAGGATCACTGGGGGCAGGGGAGACTGAGATGGATTGTCATTACTCCTTCCAATTTTGCTTGTGTCACAGCTGGATTATGACTTCAAGCTTTAACCTAGTTTGGGTTTCTTTTGGTTTTTAATGCTGGTATTCTTACGTACAGTACAGGACCAGTATAGTTTACCTCAGCAGATCATCCATGTGACATCTTAGCAAGGGATAAAATTCAATCATTAATAAACCCTTCAGAGTTATAGGCAATTTCTAAACATGGCATAGTAATGTATAATGAGTTTATTGTGATTATTAAAAACTATGCTAGTGAATAAATACTTTAAACGTTTTCAGTTTTGACTTTGATTTCTGGAAATGGTGTAAGATATAATTCACTTGTGAAAATTCTTCAAAGCCCTTAATAATCTGTGGGTGTCTCTGGTGATGTAGTCTGTAGAAAACTGCACTGTTAACTAAAGACTGCTGGTTTGATTCCAAGGGAGAAAGATGAGGAGTCTCCTCTCCCACAATTTATAGCCTCTGAAAATCTGTCAGGGGGTCAGCTATGAGTTGGTTCACTAGTTGTTTTCTTTACCCCAGGAGAAAAAAAACCCCAAACCCGACTAAAGCTAGTTTCCAGTGAGCCAATTCCGATGTGTCAGGGTAGAACTGTGCTGTATGGGGTTTTCAATTGTTACTTTCTCATAAATTTATCACCAGGCATTTCTTTCACTGCACTTTTAGGACCTTTAACCTATTGGTTAGCATCCAAACATATGAAGTGTTTGAACCACCCAAGGGCATGACCTCATTAGTGAATGTTGTTATTAACATTATTATACAAGTGGGGAAGATGCAGCATAGAGTTATTAAGTAACTTGCTCAAGATTTCAAAGGTAAAAAGTGGATCCCACTGTCTGCTACTTTGTTGTTATGTGGGGTCAAGTTGCTTATGACTCATAACGACCCTATTTACAACAGCCTAAACCCTCTCTATCCCTTGCCAATCTCACTGTCTCTGACACGCCTATCTCCAGTACCCCAGTGACGGAATCAGTCCATCTTCTTGAGGGTCTTCCTCTCACACTGACAGTGCACTGTCGCCCTGTCCCTCCATCCACCGAAGCATGATGCCCCTCTCTAAGGATTGGTCTTTCCTTGCAACATGTCCAAAGTATGTCGACGAAGCTTCAGAATCCTAGCCTCCAAGGAGCAACCTGGCTTCACCCTCTCCAGGATGAACTTGTTTGTTCTTCTAGCAGTCCATGGTATATTCAATACTCTTCTCCAGCACCAAAGCTCAAAGGCATCAACTCTCCTTCTCTAATGCATAGCAAGTAATGGCAAAGATCATGGCCTGTATCAGGCACACCTTTGTTTCCAGACTGACATCACTAATCCTCAGTACCTTGGAGAGGTCTCCGACAGCAGACTTTCCCAATGCAATTCACCTTTTAATTTCCTGGCTCCTGGTACCAAGAGTGTTGATTGTAAAGCCAAGCAAACTAAAGCTGTCAACAATCTCAATCTCTTCCCCATCTATCACGATGATGCCAATAGGCCCAGTGGTGAGAATCTTTGTTTTCTTGATATTGAGTTTCAATCCATATTGAAGGCTGTAATCCTTGATCTTCTGCTACATTAGCTATTAAAAAAATGTTCCTTCTCCAAAATACCTGTCTCTCTAGCAATAGGATAATTCTACAGTCATGGCAATGAAATAGATTTAGAGAGAGAATTGTATAATCTTCCAGCATGATACTTGCAGTAGTGGTACAATGAATATTCATGATAAAAATATAACCAATCTGTAATTAGTCCTCTTTTCTTACAAACTGTGATTTTACCAGCAGGAAAATGTGCCCAGTTTTCTTTTCTTCTGCTCCTCCCCGCCCCCACCCCTGAATTTTGCATCTCAAACTGAGTGGGAATCTTTCCTCTGTTTAGGAGAGTCGGCCGGGCTGATCACAGTCCCACCCCAGCGGCCGTTAACTGCCAGCTGAGCAGCTGGTCCGAGTGGACAGAGTGCTTTCCATGCCAGAGCCAAAAGGTAAAACATTTATGGTCACCTAGGAATTTCATATTTGGTTTGGGTAGCCATCATTCAAATGGAGATGAGCATTAGCTTTACAAGTCTAGTCAGTCACCCCTCATCTGTCAGTTTCTTTTCCTTGGAGGCTTGCATGTTGCTGTGATGCTTGAACATATGGCACCAATATTCTCTGTACTAACTAGCAGGGCCACCAGAGGTTTCAGTCAAGCTTCTAGATCAGAACATATTAGGAAGAAAAGCCTGGCAATCTACCTCTGAAAATTAGCCAATGTCACCTTACGGATGGTAACAGGACATTAACTGACTCACTTGCATTGACACTTCAATAGGTGAGATCAATTGCTAGAGAAAGACATGGAAACAAATTACCACAAAGTCAGTGGTTTAAGTAATGAAAGTCTGTTCTGCCACAGTCTGGAGGCCCTGAGTCTAAAATCAAGAGGGTGGCAGGGCCATGCTCTCTGTAGAGGCTCTTTGTTGCTTTCTGTTTCTGGTGACCGTGTGGCTTGTGGGCCCTCATCCACTCTCTGTCTCCCTAGTCACATTACTTCTCTCTCTTCTGTAATTGAGCGTGCGTTGTCGGCTACACAGGGAGTACTGGCAGCTTAGTCCATAAGAAGTTATGCTGTTAACGCAGAGGTTGTACCTCTTTGTTGGTTTGAACCCACCAGTGGCTCCAAGGGAGAAAGATGAGTAATCTCCTCCATGCGATTTACAGTTTCAGAAACCCAAAAGAGGGTCAATTATGGGTCAGTTTTGAAGTAATTGCAATGATAGGAAAGAGAGAGAGGAGGCTGTGTACTGGCAATCCTACACATCCTGACCTCGCTTTCTCATGTATTACAGGTTGGCTAGCAGATAACACAGGTGAATAGCTTATAGTTTAAAGCAAACCTGAATTGTTTCCTTGGTGACTTAAAAAGACATCTATCTCTTGAAAGGAATATTTAAAATAATTAAACTCTCTTAATTATTTAAGTGAAAGATGACCCTATGGTTTTGCCCTCTCAAAATTGTCGAAAGAAAGTTGTGCATTTCTGGAAAGAAACATTATCTACCAGCTAGAAAAGAGAATTGTGTCTTAATGATACCAACCACAGGCAACAGCACAGAGAAGTCCCTGAGGGTGTTTCTGTGCAAACCTTTCTGCAAAACAATATCTTCATTATCTGATACAAACTTGGAAAACAGGGAGCCAGTGGGAATGAACCTTATTCCAAGTACAGGAACCACAGGAAGAATGATGTCAGCCTTAATAGCCACCATTCATTAAATGATATCTACATACCAGGAACTACATTAATATTTCAAATGAATTATCTTGTTTGACTTTCATAGTCAACCCTATGTGATAGATATTATCATCTTCCTTTAATAAATGAGAACATGGAGGCTTTGGGGAGTGAAATAACTGCTTTTGTCACTCATTAAGACAATGATAGAACCTAGATTTAAAAATGCTATTAGTCTGACTCCAGGAAACCTATGGGCCTCACCATTTGCTGCTTCCACCTGAGCTGTACTGGACAGTAATGACTGGCATCAATGGTTACCCATCCAATTCTCATTCAATCATAAATTCTTTCTCTGTAGCCCACCATCACGCTATAAGAAGGATGCTCATGACCACTCATTGCCACTAAGTTAGAATCGAATCATAGCTGACCCTCTAGGGGTTTCAGAGATTATAAATCACACAGGAAGAGATGGTCTATCTTTCTCCTGTAGAGCATTAGCTTTGTGAATTTTAGGTGAGTTTGAACTGTCTGCCTTTAGGTTGGCAACACAAATCCTTATCCACTAGACAACCAAAACTCCCTGTGATAATTACAATGATGTTCATAATTATTGTCATTGAGAATTTACATGTATTATCACTAACCTTCACAGTAGCACTCAGATGTATTCTCATTTTGCAGATAGAAAAGGTGAGGGTTAGAAACTTTAAATGATTAATTTAGTCATCTATCGAGTAAGTAACTAATGGAATTCTAACCCAGTTTAAAACAGGAATTATAGTAACATTTAATCCCAATTGTTTATGACGATTACAAAAGATGAGGTATGGGAGATATTTGGTCAACAGGCTGTGATCTTCTCAATTACTTGTTATGCATCTGAGAGCTGGGCAATGAATAAGGATGACAGAAGAATTGATGACTTTGAGCTGTGGTGTTAGAAATGAGTACCGAATATATCCAAAATATGACTTTGAGTCTATCCCACCTGAATTTCAGAACCATCTCAGGAACAGATTTGAGGCCTTGAACACTAATGAGCAAAGACCAGATGAGTTGGGGGTGCGGGGATATCAAGGATATAATCCAGGAAGAGTGCAAACAGTCATTGCAAAGACAGAAGAGGAAGAGAAGACCAAAATGGATGTCAGAAGATACTCTGAAAATTGCACTGGAGCTCAGAGAAGCCAAAGCACAAGAAAGAATTCAAGATACTAAAGAGTTGAATAGAAAATTTCAAAAGGCAGCACTGGTGACAAAGTATACTATTACAATGAAATGTGCAAGGATTTGGAGTCAGAAAATCAAAAGGGCCGAACTCGCTCAGCATTTCTTAAGCTCAAGGAACTGAAGAACAAATTCAAACCTCGAGTTGCTATAATCAAGGATGCTTTAGGGAGAATATTAAATGATCCAGGAAGTATTAAAAGAAGATGGAAGGAATATACTGAGTCATTGTATTGAAAAGAATTGGCAGACACAGAAGAATTTAATGAAACAACATATGAGCAAGAGCCTATGGTGATGAAAGAAGTTCAGGCTGCTTTGAAGGAAATAAATAGCAGAAAATAAGGGCCCAGGAATAGATGGTATACCAATTGATGTATTTCAGCTAACAGATGCTGCCCTGGACGTGCTCACCAAGTTGTGCCAAGAAATCTGGAGAACGACCACTTGGCCAACTGACTGGAAGAGATCTATATTTGTTCCCATCCCAAAGAAGGGTGACCCAACGGAGTGTGGAAACTATAGAACTATATCGTTGATTTCACTTGCAAGCAAGATTCTACTGAAGATTATCCAAAAACTACTGGAACAGCAAGCTCATCAGCAGAGAACTGCCGGAAGTCCAGGCTGGGTTTAGAAGGGGTCGTGGTGGTAGGGATATTGTAGCTAATTTTAGATGGATCTTAGCTGAAAGCAGAGAATACGAGAGGAATGTCTATCTGTGTTTCATTGACTATGCAAAAAGCGTTTGATTGTGTGGGTCATAACAAACTGTGACTGACTCTGAGAAGAATGGGAATCACAGAACACTTGATCGTGCTAATGAGAAACCTATACTTAGACCAAGAGGCAGTCATCAGAACAGAGCAAGGAAACACTGCATGGTTCAAATAGGGAAAGGCGTACGCCAGGGATGTGTCCTGTCTCCATACCGTTTCAACCTGTATAAAGAACAGATTATTCAGAGGCTGGGCTCTATGAGGAGAAATGTGCGGTCAAGATTGGTGGAAGCTCTATCAATAATCTGCATTATGCACAACCCTGCTTGCTGAAACTGAGGAGAACCTGAAGTGCTTGCTGCAGAGGGTCAAGGATTGCAGCTTCCAATAGGGCTTGAGGCTCAATGTCAAGAAGACAAAGATTCTCACCACTGGGCCAATTGGCAGCATCAGGATGGATGGTGAAGAGATTGAGATTGTTCACAGCTTTAGTTTGCTCAGCTCTACAGTCAACAGTCTTGGCACCAGCAGCCAGGAAATTAAAAGGCGCATTGCCATGGGAAAGTCTCCTGTTAGGGACCTCTCCAAAGTACTCAAGAGCAATGGTATCTCTCTGGAGACGAAGGTGCCTTTGCTATCACTTGTTATGCATCAGAGAGTTGGAAAATAACTAAGGAGGATAGGAGGAGAATTGATGCCTTTGTGTTGCTGAAGAAGAGTATTGAGGGTACCATGAATTGCTAGGAAAACAAACAGATTCATCCTGGAAAGGGTTAAACTGGGTGGCTCCTTGGAGGCAAGGGTTCTGAGGCTCCGTCCATATTTTGGACATGTTGTAAGGAGAAACCTGTCCTTGGAGAAGGACATCATGCTTGGGAGGGTGGAGGGACAGCTCAGGAGGGGAAGGCCCTCTATGAGGTGGATTGATTCAGTGACTGGGATAATTGGGATGGGAGTGTCAGAGACTGTGCGATTGGCACAGGACAGAGCAGAGTTTAGGGCTGTTGTACATAGGGTCGCTATGAGTCGCAAGCGACTCGACGGCACATAACAAAAACAACAATTGAATATCTCATCGACTGCCAAAAGAATAACCAGATACATCTTGAAGAAAGTACAGTAAGAGTGGTTCTTGGAGGCAAAGATGGTGAGGCTTTGCCTCATATACTTCGGGCATGTTGCGAGGAAAGGCTATTATTATTCCTTGGAAAGGGACATCATGCTTGCAAAAATGGAGGGTCAACGAAAAAGAGGAAGAACCTAAACAAGATGTATTGACATGGTGACTGAGGCAATGGTCTCAAGTATGTCAGAGATTGTGAGGAAGATACAAGATAGGACAGGGTTCATATCTCTTGTCCAGAGGGTTGCTGAATTGTACTCAATTAAATGGCACCTAACAACAACAAACACTTAAAAAGATGGTAGCTTCCTTCACTGTTAAAATGTTGGTAACAAAAGGCTTGAAAAATCTGATCAACATTTTCAAGAGTGAGAAAGAAAGTTAGCTCTCTGTTGATGCACTAATCACTCATTATTTGGTGCACTGTGGGACAGGAGTGTGGGTAGAATATTAGAAAGCTCTAATAGTCTCCAATAAGTCATTAGTTTTAATCTCTTCCCACAAAGTTTACAAAGTTCTTGCCACTGTTATTAACAGAAAGGCAGGGAAGGTAAAAGGAAAATTTTGAACTTCACCTTTGTTTGCCACCCTGCTCCTTTGCAATTGAGCAATGAAGCAAGCAGAAGAGAAAGTTGTGCTTCTCCACAACTCATCCACTGGAATCATCTGGAAAAGATCGCATGATAGGGTAAGAGTGTGGGATCCACTTCTGCTCAGTGAGCACCAATGATAATCCAGGCATGGGGCCACGTGCTTCTCCACATAGCATCTCATTTCGTTTACAAGACCCTCTGAGATAAATTATTGTTATACATACGATACTTAATAGAGAAGCAACGTTCAACAAGGGCACATGATATATCAATGGTCAGTTGTTAAGCAAATTTGGCATCTGAGATCCTGCATCTGAATGTAAATATAATTGTCATGCCCAAGTACTTTTAACTCTAGCAAAGTTATTGTTATTATTGATTGCCGTCAAGCGTGACTCATAGCGACCCTATGCACAAAAGGCCTGAAACATTTCTATAACTATCAGCATTTATCAAATTTCATAGAATTTCTAGAGGCATGTTGTTTAGGAAGTGAATGCCACTTGTAACAAAGAGATTAAAGAAAAACTGTAACTATTATGATTATAAAGTTTTCTACATCAACTAATTCATTTCACAGATTTACTGGGACACAAAGCAATGAAGTGCTGTTGGATGTCACATACCAGTTTGTTCAAATTGATTCTCACTCAGAATGATCCCTGTTGCAAGAGGAGAATTGTACTCCACAGGCTCCCAAGGGATGATTTTTGGGACAGTCTATGTGCTATGCATCCGAGAGTTGGATAGTGAATAGGGTTGATAGAAAGAGAATTGATGCCTTTGAGCTGTGGTGTTGGAGAAGAGTGTTGAATATACCATAGACTGCTAGGAGAACAAACAGGTTTGTCTTGGAGAAGGTGAAGCCAGAGTGCTCCTTGGAGTCAAGGATTCTGAAGCTTCATCTGACATACTTTGGGCATGTTGCAAGGAGGGACTGGTCCTTGGAGAGGGACATCATGTTTGGCAGAGTGGAGGGGCGGCACAGGAGAAGAAGACCTTCAATGAGATGGATCGATTCTGATAGTGGAGTGGTGAGAATAAGTGCGTTTGGGATGGCTAGGTTGGCACAGGATACAACAGTGTTTAGAGCTCTTATACATAGGTTCGCTGTGAGTCACAAACGACTCGATGGCACATAACAACAACATATCCAGATCAACACTCTTGGCACCAGCAGTTAGGAAATCAAAAGACGAATTGCACTGGGAAAATCTGCTGTCAGGGACCTCTCCAGAGTGCTGAAGAGCAATGATGTCAGTCTACAGACTAAGGTGAGCCTAATCCAGAACATGGTCTTTGCAATTATGCATCAGAGAGCTGGACAATGACTAAGGATGACAGAAGAAGAATTGATGCCTTTGAGTTGTGGTGCTGGAGAAGAGTCTTGATCATACCATGGACAGCCGGGAAAACAAATAGATCTGTCTCAGAGAAAGTGAAAACAAGTTTCTCCTTGGAGGCTAGGATTTTGAAGCTGCATCTCACAAACTTTGGATACATGGCTCATAGGGATTGGTCCTTGGAGAAGGACATCATGCTTGGAAGGATGGAGGGCCAGCGCAGGAGAGGAAGACTCTGGATGAGATGGCTTAATACAGTAACTGGGGCAATGGGGATAGGTGTGTTTGAGCCAGTGAGACTGGCTTAGGACAGGGCAGGCTTCAGAGCTGCTGTACATAGGGTTGTTAAGAGTCTCAGGGGACTCAATGGCACGTAACAACAACATCTCCAGATCTTTCATCTGAGGGACCACTGTGCTGACTTGAAACTCCAACCTCAGCTAGCAGCTGAGGATATAATCCATTTGTACTTTTCTGGGTCTCCTTCCAGCAGACAACAAGTAAGAAAGAAGTAGATGTGGGTCAGAAACTCACTTCTATTTCCCCTCATATTCTTGCTTTCATGATTGCCAACACACTTTGTGTACTAATGGTCTCTGGGATGAACCAAGGTAAGAGGCTGTAGAAAATATGGGACTGCAGTCTCCACTGTGGGCCTCTGTGTGGATGTTCTCCATATAGGATAATCTATAGTGTTGTCTTTCTTTATGGGCACATTTTATGTCCTCTATTTGAATATAAGCATCGTGAAGGCAGGGATGGAATTTCTCACCTTCTACTTCCTTTTTCTCCACTAGTGACAAGACTAGTGACAAGACTAGTGACAAGAGACAGAGTCATAAAACCATAGATCCCAAGATTTAGATGTATTTTCATTCCTTCTTTTCTTCAATGAGTTCATTCCTTTTTAATCACACCCTGGACTCAGATGATGGCTTCAGAGATCTGTTTTTATTTCTTAGATAGATAGGATTCTTTTTACATATAAGGCATGCGCCTGCAATTCTTAATAACTTGCAATGGAAGGAAATGTTCTTTTCCAATAGGTCTGAAGGAAATGTCTTAGAAAGAACTCTGATTGACCTAGTTTAAAAAGTGGACCAATCTGCCAACCAATCATTGTCTCTACAGAAGTTTTCTGATTGGCTCGGTCTGGTTAATACCTGCACAGTTTTATGACTGAAGTGATGTGATCAGCCCCATCCGAACCACATGATAATGTTCCAGAGAGGAGGAATATGATGACCAGAAGAGATGTTTTGAGGCCAAAGCAACAACTTATAAGTGTTTTTGTGTCTTCACTAAAGGTCAAGCACCAAGCATATCAAGTCCAGAAAGACATAATACTTTTTTCTCACCCCATTCTCGTTCTCAGATTCCTCACAGTCCAGTGAGAGTTACAGCAAAATGAGAAATCAGAGTCTCATGTGATAACTGCGAGGCAAGAAGTGAGAATAGGGACATAAGCAGAGGAGATATATGGCCATTCTTAATTAGAGCAGGCTTCATAAAAGGACAAATATTGCATAGGGCAACTATTGTAAAACAGGGCTGACATTGGGGTTGAGGGAAGACAGAGAAGGAGGGGAGGAATGGTGTATACTGCATTGAAACAGATGAGGGAGAGAACTGTTTAAAAGGGTTATATGATGGGTATTATTGTCATGACAGGAGTCCAGAATGAAGACTGCACAGTGGAGTGGACTTGGGGGGAGGGATTGCATTAACAATGAGTTTTTCTTTTACCTTTCAAGGAGAAGAGTGAATTAGGAGGAGAAGGTGGGCAGTGAGAAAAGTGTAGCAAAGAATGACTGACTGGAAACCCTAAGTCTCTGCAAACTTTCATTAAAATGAATAAATAATTAAAAAGACCCTAAATCTTGAAAGATTAACATGAATTATCTAGCTTAAGTAAGGAAGAGGTTTGGGATGGAGGTCTTGTTTAGCAAGTGGGAAGATGCTAGAAATAATTGTTCCTAGCTTTTCATTTGATGCTTGGAGGATCTCTGCACTGTTCCAGCTGGTGAGCGTGCCACCTCTGTTTGAACATCACCACTTGTGAACACTCATCCCCTCAGAAGACAGCTTTGTAGGCAGTTCTCAATCATGAAGCAGTTATTCCTTATGTCAAGCTGAGACCTGCCTGCAGGAATCTTGGTTGATTGATTGACAATAATATGTCTGTTTAAAAATCTGACTTAGTACCGATATCGGAGCCTCCTGCAGCCAGACAAGTTTGGGGGAACCATCTGCAGTGGTGACGTCTGGGATAAAGTCAGCTGTCACAGTCCCACGACTTGTACAAAGCAAGCACAGTGCGGACAGGATTTTCAGTGTAAGGAGACAGGTGAGTAGCATCCCAGCAGGATAACAGCTGCGACTGTCAGCTTTAAAGTGCAGAGCATTTGCCCAGGGAGGACTACTTCTAAAGCTTGTCAGTCAGAAAGGTTGGGGTGAAGCCCAGAATCTACATTTAAACCAGCATCTCAAATAATTTCAGAGGAAGTTTGTAATAAAGTTTGTTTTCTTTAGAAAAGAAACTGATTACCCATCTATTAATTTAATAAGCATTTGTTGTATGTATATTATGTACCAAGCAGAATACTACCTGCTTGTAACACAGAGATGGGAAAAAACTGCTTGCCTGATGTGGAGCCATTGCTAGTGTGGGAGAATCCTCGTGTTGTGTGCCGGGGAGTCAGTTCTGACTAATATTAACCCCATTTGACAGTATAGAACCAGCCCATATGAGTTCCAAAGGCTATAATGAACAGGTTGATCCTGGAGAGGGTTAAACCAGGTTTCTCCTGGAGGCAAGGATTCTGAAACTTTGACATACTTTGGACATGTTGTAAGGAGGGACTAGTCCTTGGAGAGGGACGTCATGTTTGGGAGGGTGGAGGGACAGCGCAAGAGAGGAAGACCCTCAATGAGATGGATTGATTCAGTGACTGGGGTATAATGCGGTTAGGTGTGTTGGAGACAGTGAGAGTGACACAGGACAGAGCAGGGTTTAGGGCTGTTGTACATAAGATCGTTATGAGTCGCAGGCGACTCGACAGCACATAACAACAACAACAACAACATTTTTATAGGAACAGATCACCAGATCTTTTCTCCTGTGGAACCATTAACCTTCTGATTACATCCTGATCACTTAAGAGCTGAACCATGAAGGCTCTGGGATAGTGTTACTGGAGTCAAATACAGTAACACATGGTAATCTTTAGCATTGGGTAGTCCCAGGGAGTCAGTACAGGCTTCCAAAGAGTATTTGAATTACATACAACTTGAATAGTGAAAAAGTGAGTTTTCTGAGAAAGAATGAGTAATAAACCCAAATATCAAGGAACTCATGATTGATCAACGCTCTGATTGTTGGTCTAAATAGCATTTCTCATTCTCTTTCTGTCCCTCTCAGGTCGCTGCCTGAAACGTCACCTTTTGTGTAATGGAGACAGAGACTGCCTTGATGGCTCTGATGAGGATCAATGTGAAGATGTTAGGGTCATTGACAATGAATGTAGCCTGTATGTTCCAATTCCAGGATCACAGAGGGTCTCCTTGGGGTAAGTCCTTGTCTCTGGCTGCCCAGAAGCACAGTGTCCTTTATCTTCAGCTGTGAGTGTTCATTTTGGGACTAGACAGAGCCCTTTCTGTGAGGCAGCTCTCACTGTCCCAAAGTGGCTGCCCCGTCCTGCCCAGGTTATAGTGCTCATTCTTGCCCCTCCACATCTCCCCTTGAGCATCTTCCTTCCTTTCACCCCTTCACTTTCTACGGATCATCTCCTCTCAGCCTCAAATCTGTCTCCAAGGCCACTTTAAGAAGCTACATCTTCTTTAGGAGAAGCCTTCTCTGATCCAAGTTCTCTTTCTGTTAGGTCTGTGCTTGTTCTGTTTTTCACTTTAACTGCTTGTGTAGCCACTGCTAATGGTGGAATGGAGTACCTGGACGTTATGCTGAAAGAAAAATCTAAGCACCGACTTCTGAAAAACCAATTGTTGAAAAACCATGAAGCATAGTTCTACTCCAACACATATGAAATCACCTTGCATCAGAATCAAGTCAACAGCAGCTGGGAATGCTAACAGTGGAAATAAAACCAAAACCACAAATGCATTGCTGTTTAAGTCAGAACCAACTTATAGCTGGTCCTCCATGGGATTTGCGAATCACATGGGAGGAGATTGTTCATCTGTTTTCCGAGGAGCTACTGGTGGATTCAAACCACTAGAGACATGTAGACTTTGGGTTAGCAGCATAACTTCCAGAAGGCAGTTCAAAAAGTAAGCTCTGGGGGTACAACAAAGAGAGGTTTGAAGCCCACCTTGCCAGTGCTCACTTATTATCTCTCTTCCTGTTTACATTTTCTCTGTGGAGAGTAAATAAACTTTTATTCTAATTTTGCTACATCATATGTCTCATATTTGAGGCCAGTTCCTTGGAAGCATCACATTCTTTTGCTTCTGAAGCTTAAGAAATGTAACCTGATCTTTCTAAAATGCTCTTTCTAAGCATCCATCGCCTCCTCCAAGAAGCCTCATTGGCACACTCTTGCCCTTGGCCCTATCTAGGCTGACTTAAAACCAAAACCAAGTCTATTGCTATCAGGTTTAAACCAAACACTCACTGTCATAGTCAATTCTGTTTCACTGCAACTCTTCATCAGATTCCTGAGGCTATAAATCCTTATGGAAAGAGCCTGACATCTTTCTCCTGGGTAAACTTGAACTACCAATCTTTTGCTTAGCAGTGCAACTGTTGTTATGCACTGTGCACCAGAGGTACTTTCCACTAGGTTCGCTGTTGTTGTTGTTGTTGTTGTGTGCGGTAGAGTCAGAACCAACCCATAGCTAATCCTCCAGTGGGTTTTCAGAGGCAGTTGATCACATGTGAGGAAACTGCCCATCTCTTCTCCGGAGCAGCTGGTGGATTCAAAACACAGGCCTTTGGGATTGCAGCACAGCTTCTTTTCACTAGACCACCAGAAGCTGCAAATCTTTATTAAAGGAAAATGCCTGTCACCAACAGAACAGTTGCAAGACAGTTAAACCTCTTGGTTTGCAGTCCAAACTACACTTCACTATAACAGATGGCTCTTTAGTCTAATTCATTCACTTCCTAGCTCTGATAAGCCCCCGCGTACCCTACTATCTCAGTATTTATCCCCAGGGTGGGGAGGTCTGTTGAAGTGCCCAGGCTGAGAGCTTCTTGAGAGATCTCTCTTCTCATTCGTACTTCTCTGCACACAGGGTCGAGTGTACGGTGATGTTCTGATGGTGGTAGCTTCTTGCTACTCTGATTCTGCTTTACATCTTGTTCTTTAACTTGAATATAAACTCTTTGAAATCAAAGCTCGCCTCTGCCTCATCCATTGGCTCCCTATGGTAGAGTGTGTCATGTAATAGCCTATCACTGTTTATTGACAGAATTAAAACTAATCCATACAACTAGCTGGATCATTGTAGATGAGACCGTGGGAGATTCAACAGTTGTCACAAGTGACCCAGCCTCATCTCAGCCCACTCAGATTTAGGTAAGATAGTGATGAAAGTAGCTGTCATCCATTATAGTTGAAGAGCCAGTGCTGAGAACAGAACTCATGTGCCAGTTGAGATTGAGTCCTGTAAGTGATATGCAAACCCACTGCTGTCAACTTCATTCTGTCTCATTGGTGACTGTCCACTGAGTTTCAAGGCCACAGATCCTAACCAGTGCACACTGCCTCTTATTTCTCCCTTGGAGTGGCTCGTGGGTTTGAACCACCAACTTTCACTTAACTGCCCAACTTAGAGCACGTTATACCACCAGAGCTCCTTGGAAGTTATATAACCACATGAACATGAAGAGAGAAAAAATAAAATTCTGTTGATGTTGTTGTTTTTCAAGAGCTGTCAAAAAGGATTCCGTTGATATTGAAAGTACTATGGAATGAACAGAATAGAGGCATGAACTATTGAGCTGAGAAGTAAACCCCTCCTCTTTGGCAAAAATATTCCAGATCACACGACCCTGTGCTTCTGTGAGTCAACAAGCAGCATTCAAGTACAGTTTCTGACTACGAGCCTCTGCCTATGCTGAATAGATGTAGAAGATGTAAAAGAATGAAGCCCACTCCCATCAGTTACAATTTGACCGTTCTTCTCAAGATTTCACAGACAGTTCTTGATATCTTCAGTTCTAAAAATTTATGGTTTCCCAGATATTTATTTATTGTTACAGAAGTACTGTGAGTTTAAGATAAAGTTTCTCTTCACCTTCCCACTCAGACTGCACCCAGTGAGAAGGCTTCCTCCTTTTCAAGAACTGATCAGCTTGGTGTAGGGACTTCTAGACCATCTTATTATTTTTGTGATTTAAAAGATATTATTTACAGTTTTTTAAATTTATTTTTTAATTGTATATAACCTTTCTCTTCACCCAATATATTATGTGTCTATGAACTTTGATAAATGTCGATAGTTATAGAAAGGCTTCAGGCTTTTTGTTCATAGGGTCGCTATGAGTTGTGCTCAACTTGATGGCAATCAACAACAACAACAACAGCATATGCTGCCTAGAGGAAAGAAGCTGCTCTACAATCCTGAAAGCCTACAGTTCAAATTCATCAGTTGCTCTGTGGGAGAAGGATGGGCAATCACCTATATTAATTGCCTCTGAAAACCCACCAGAGGGTCAGCTATGGCTGGGTTCCAACTCAACAGTACATAGTAACAACAACAACAATATATATATTTCTTGTGTATAATAAATAACATGCATGTTTTAAAAGAATATGTTCATAGTGTCCATATTGTTAAATGACTAGCTTTTTTCCACTTGGTATCTCTTGAAGATTTATGCTTATATTATCTATCTTTTCTTCTAAGTATATCATGTTCCACAAGAGGAGACAGCAAGTTATGACCACTTGGTTTGTTTTTCTGATTTTAAAAATATTGTTGAAAGGCAGTTTTTTTCCTTAGAATTACAGAATTCGCAAGTCACAGCAGAGAGCTATTGATTGCAAAGCCTAGACTAAAAGCATCTGGCTCTTTACAGAAAAGTTTGCTGACCCCTTTTAGCATGACTATATGATCACTTGACTATCCCCTATGGAAAGATAATTTAGTTTATTTCATTTTCCCTCCCTTATCTAATTCTGGAGTGAACATCCCTTTTCTCTTATTTCTGTCCATATGTATAACTGTTATTGTTAGAAGAGTTCTGTACCATACCAACATCACAAGCAGACACACTCATACTTATTGTTGTAGTCACTATGTTAATCCATCTGGTTGAAGATTGTATGGTGGGTTTCTAAAACACAGAAGTCATTTTTCTGATGAAATATTTTTATTTTCCCAAATTCTCTTATATCTGATTTTTCCAGATAACTGTAGGCTTTACTTACTCTTAGTGATACAGTCCAATCTTAGAGTTTATTGTTGTGTTGTTTTGTTTGGCTCATTAGAAAGCTCTTATTTATAAGGTGTAGTAAAAAATGGGCTGTAGATGGGAAGATAGAAACTGAGGGTAAAATCAAATGAAGAAGTCAAAGTTTTTAATGTCAAAAAGATCTTGGAGAAAAATGACTACAGGCAAGTTAATTTTCTCGAGGTTTGGTTTCTGCCTTTGCAAAATTGTCATGAAGTTGAAAATTAATGTATGCTAAATGTCTGGCAGAGTTTGTATTCAATTCATCATAGCTATTATTACATCATTTCCATGAATACAAATAAAGGAGAAGGAGATAGTAAAAGAAGGAGGAAACTGACATAGGCATATGACTTTCTACCATATGCCAAGTGTTGTCTAATTATCCACTTATTCATTTGAAATAGATGGTAGCCAGAGTTTATTTCCTACTTATTTTCTGTTTTATGGCTTTAAAAGAACAAACAGGTATGTCTTTGAAAACGGTGCAGCCAGAGTGCTCCTTGTAGGCAAGGGTGGTGAAACTGTATCTCTAATCCTTTGAACATCTTGCTAGAAAAGGCTATTCCTTACAAAGAGAAATTATGCTTGGAAAGGTGGAGGGCTAGCCAAACAGAGGGAAGAACCGCAATGAGATAATTGACACGGTGACTGCAGCAATAACATGAAGTATGTTAGAGGTGATGTGGATGGTACAGAATAGGACAGAATCATAGGATCGCTGAGTTGTACTTGAATCAATGGAACCTAACAACAACAACAACAACAACAACAACAACAACAACAAATGTTCTACTGAGGGTCATCATTGAGTGCCATGGGGAAACAGAAGAGAGATTATTCCAGATTAAGTCAGCCCAGAGTAATCAAAGCAGGCCACAAAAAGGAGATAAATTTTAAGTGGTTCTCAAGGTTAAGTAGGAGTTTAACAGACAGAGGTGAACAATATTTTTAAAAGCTTATACTATCATTCATTGGACCTTTTACCCAGCTCAGAACATTTTGTTGCTAACTTTTACTTTCAGAAAATTAAAATAGTATTTCACCTACTGAATACTATTTTCTTTCTCTTATGACATAAAAATGGAGCACAGGCAAATATATTTTATATTCCCTTAAGAAGAATATATGAGAAACTGTTTACAGAAGTGTGTTGGGTGAAAGGCAAGAACCCTATTGAGTGCCTACCATATGGTGTTAGCTTTGCTTGTTTTTTACTACTACCTCTGTTGTTGCCATGTGCCATCATCAAATCTGTAAGCAGTAAGTATCGTTATGTTGCTTCTTCAAATAGGAGAATGAGCTTCGTAAAAGTTCAACATCTTGGGAGAAACTACATAGTTAGCAAATGGTAGGACTGGAAATGAAACAGCCATCAACAAGGCTTTCAAATTGTGTGTCAGTCAATAGCCCTAAGATAATGAATGGTCTTTTAGAGGGCTGAGTCCAAGCATGATGAATTGACCCAATTCTAAAACTTAGTTTTCAGTAGCAGAGTACGTGTCAGAAACAATAACAGCAACAATACATTTATTGAGTGTTTAATATATATATATAAAGAATTGTTTTGATTTCTTTTTATGTTTTAGCTCTTTGAATTATTAACTATTTTGGCAGTGTTTGGAGATAAATGTACACATATTTTAAGTTTATAGAGCAAACGATTCAACCATTTAAGGTGTGCAATCCAATGATTTTTAAACCATCACCAAAGTTAATTTTAGAATATTTTCATAATTTCAAAAAGAAACCTTATTTAGTTCTTTTACTATCATCCTCCAACTCTTTTCACCTTGCCTTGTCTTAAGGAATCAGTAAATTACTTATCTCCACAAATGTCTTTGTTCTAGACATTTCTTACGAATTAACTTATATAATAGGTGGGGGTTTGTGCCTGGCTTCTTTCATTTATCATCCTGTTTTCTAGGTTCATCCATATTGTAACGTAGTCATCCATCATTTTTATGGTCAAATGATACCCTATTGAATGGGTAGACCACATTTTATTTATCTATTCTTCCACTCATGGGCATTGGCATTGTTTCCACTTCTCTACTATTGAGAATAATGCTGCTAAAAACATGAACTGCAAAATTTTGACTAGATGTACATTTGCTTTTATTTTGGTTGTATGCCTAGAAGGATGGTTTCTGAGTTGTGTAATAACTCCGTATTTAATCCTTTGAGAACCTGCTGTTGTCGTTGTTAAGTGCCCTCGAGTTGCAGGCAACTCATAGCGACCCTATGAAGGAGAGTCCTTGACACTTGGGTGTCTTTCATCCTCTCTCCAGGTTCATAGGGTTTCCCGAGGCAAGCTATTATGGAAGTGGATGCCACTCCTCCTTCCAAGCAAGTTTTAATCGGGGAGCTCCACCCCACTCTCTGTCCACATTGGGTAACCAACCATTAACGCGTTTGACAAATCAGTGTCACAGTGTTCAGCCTCACAGCAACCACAAGTGACCACTGCACGGCAACTTGTACACCAGGGCTATACGACCTAGAGGAATGTCAGAACAAAAACAAAGAAAGACTGGCGCAAGAGCCGCAGGCCTGAGGGCCCTTTTGGGCTTGAAGCCCTCTGCTGCCTTAAACCCTAGGCCAAGCCTGACTTACCTGGCTCTCCCATTTTATATTCCATTCAGTGGTGTAGGCAGATTCTGATTTTTTAAAAATTTTATTAATTTTAATGAACATTTACAGAGATTTTGGATTTCCATTCATTCATTGTTGCACTTTTTTCTCTACCTGCCCCCCCCACCCCAGTTCGTTCCTCTCTTTGAAAAACAAAAGATAAAATTCTTCGTTTATCCCTCCGCCCTCGCCCAAATGCACTCCACTATGCAACCTTAATTCTGGAACCTGTGATAATCATAATATCCTATCATATATCCTTTTTAAACTGCTCTCTCCCTCATCTGTTTCAATTCAGAATACATAATCTATCCAGTTTTTCTCAGACTTACCCCAACCCTGATGTCAGTCCCATTCTACAACAGTGGCAGATTCTGATTTTTACAAATTTCACCAATACTTGCTGTTATCCTGCTTTTTGGTTTCATGATGTTTGCCTTATATCCAGAAATAATTGAACTGAGACATAGAAAGATTAAATAAATGACTTTTCTAAAGTCTCATAGGGGAGTTCTGGTGGCTTAGTAGTAAACTGGGCTACCTACCAACTTAAAAGTCCACTGTCCAAATCCACCAGCTGCTCCATGGAATAAAGATGAGCCATCTTCTCCTGTGCAATGTGCTGCTTCCTAGAAGTTGCTGGAGGGTCAACTGTGGGTCGGTTCCAGCGTGATAGTACATAACAACAACCTGACAGTCATAGAGGCAGAGCTGCTAACTGGGTTCAGTTTGGCCCCTGCACTTGAACACTTGAGCTTTGTACAAATTCTCTTCCGACTTTATTCAACAAATATTTAAGAGTGTTCTATAAGGAAACACTATTCTAGGTATTGAATGGAGCTTTCTGCTTTCTTATTCCGTTTCCCACAGTAACTCAAAGTAATTCTTAAAATATCTTGAGCCCATAAAATGCCTTTGGCTCCACAGAACATAGGTTAAGAAACAATTGCTTTTATCACTTATCACACTGTGCAGAGGATGACTTTCTATGCTGTCTTGGGTGTTTCAATGTTCTCTCCCAGAAATGTCTGGGTGTTTTGTTTTTGTTTTGTTCTTTTTTCCCAATATAGGTATAACATCCTGACCCGGGAAGAAGCTCAGAGTGTATATGATGCCAGATATTTTGGGGGCCAATGTGAGACAGTGTACAATGGGGAATGGAGGGAGCTTCGCTACGACCCTACCTGTGAGCGTCTCTACTATGGAGATGATGAGAAGTATTTTCGGAAACCCTACAACTTCTTGAAGTACCAGTTTGAAGTAAGTTTAGAATGATTTTTTCACAAGCCACTGAAGGGTGAATGATAGAGAAAGAGGAAGCTGTTGATGGAGCTGCCTTGCTTTGTGAGCTTTTCTTTCCAACAGAGTTTGTTGGAGACTGTAGGCTCCCGTTCACCTGTCCCTACAGCCACATTGCGTGGAAGGGTAGTGAGAAGTGGAGGGTCAGTGAGAGGCAGAATGTAAACATGACGACTCACCTGTTGACTCTCAGCTTCCATTTCAAGACCTAGAAAACAGGTGTGGGATCCTACTCTGTAGGCTACAGGTCAGAGTGTAGCTACATGATAGCCTGAACAACTAACCTTCCTGGGCCCCAGCTTTCTCAGCTGTACCGTGGAGGTAGGTCAGAAGGTGGCCAGGCAGTGTTCTCATATATATTTCCCTACTTTAGCAAAAGCAAATCACATTAATAATTCTCAGATCTAAGTTTGTTTTTAAAAATGATTATCTGTTGAAAAAAATTGAAGATTGCATATAGCTCCTAAAGGTTCTTCCATCTCTGACACACTTTTGTCTCCTGGTAACAAGATATATCAAGTGGTCCATGAGCAATATCAGAGCCCACGCATGGTCATTCATTTCTTTCCCTTTCGTCCTTCGGGTGAGATAGTCATACAACCACTATACTGAATACTTCTGTCATTTCTGAGATTTTGCAACAACAACTCATTGCCTTAGAGTCAGAACTGACTCCCAGCTGATCCTTCAATGGGCTTTCAGAGGATGGCATGTAGAAGAAAATGGCTCATCTTTCTCCTGAGAGGAAGCTGGTGGATTTGAACTACTCGCCTTTGAGTTGGAAGCACAACTGCCTACTCACTAGGCCACCAATTCTCCCACTTAATCCCCCTTGCAATATAATGAGAGCATTATTATCATTGCTGCCCTTTAAACCTTGAAAAAGAACCCCAGAGATTTAGAACATCAAATTGTGGGGCCCAAATGATGTGGCAGAGACAAAATTAAAATCCACTCCTACCTGAAATACAGGCAACCCTTCCATGTGGGAGATCAGGATTGGACTCCAGCCAGTACACCTCATGCTAGTTATTGTTTATTTGTTATTAATGACTAGAATTGATGTCTTTGAATTGAGGTGTTGGCAAAGAGTTTTGAATACACCATGGACTGTCAAACAAACAAATTTTTCCCCAAAATGTCATTGTTGCACACACTCTTCTCCGTCCTCCCCAAGCCCACACTACAATGCACCCCTTGCTCCAGACTGTTGACATACATATGACGTCTACTCATATATTTCTTTCAGACAGTTCATCTCCTCATCTGTTCTAATAGTGTTAATTATCTATCCACTCTTTTCCCATTCACTCCCTCAATCCCCCACATCTGTCCTATTTTATAACATCAGTGTTATGCAGTACTTGTCTTTTTATGATTGAGATATTTCCACTCAGAATAATATACCTCCAGCTTCCCCTATGTTTATAAGTTTATTGTTTTTCACTGCTGTGTTAATATTCCATTGCCTTATTGAGCAGGGTTATTTTTGCTGGTGTTTTGGATGACTATCGCAAAAGAATACCTGGATGGCAAAATGGCTAAGTCCTCAATTAACGGTTGGTGATTTTAAAGGAAGAAAGACCTTGTGATCTCCCAAAAGGCCACAGCCATAGAACAGGTCTACCATTTAGGCTTAACAGCAAATAGTGCCAGCATGTCTATATCATAAGCTTTGCTATATTTCCTGTATTTTAGCAAATAATATGATCTAATGCCTAAATTAGTGTCTTTACAGATTTACTTACAATGATCTGTAACATCAGAGATTTTCCAAAGCAGAGCTCTAAAGTTGAATGATAGCATACTTCATGTGCACAGGCTAACTTCTGTTTCCTTCTCTCAAGGCTCTAGCTGATTCAGAAGTCTCCTCTGAATACTACGAGGATGTGAACAGCTTGCTTACTGACACCCAACATGACTTTGCTCTGTCAGGGCGAGTGAGTGCGGGTGTGGGCCTTGTGAGCATTCCACTAACTATAGAAGGAGGTATATCTGGATCAATAGACTCTTCGTACGTGAAGAAGTTAAGCCAGTATAATGAGAAGGTATTAAAACATAATGCCCGTGCTGCACAGTATTCTATAATCTACACGAAACACGCATTACCTTAATTGCATTAAAAAGTACAGTAGTAATTGAACCTTAATTTGCTTGTGTAATTGGAAATGTCTGAATCACTGGTAATCATGTTTGTTTTTCTTATTACGCTTTTGCACACAGAATCATCACAAAGGAAATAAAATGGAACAATGAGACGAGAACCCTTATCACTTCACCCCATCCTTTTTCATGGTTACCTGGAGCATACAGGGAAATATTGAGAACGGGAATGTTTTAAAGAGCAATAGCCAGGCCCTCTAAATTAGACTTGGAGAAAAGTAAAAGTAAGCCTTGCTTTATAAATGCAGTATGAAGGCCAGCATGTGCAGCAAACACCTAAGGAGTCAGGAAATGCTTGTTTCAAGAAGAGACATCTATATAAGTTAAAAATCTAAAGACACGCACAGGTTGGATGGATGAAGAGAAAGGGAAATTGACTGAAGGATGTTCCAGTCACAGGGAACAGCGTGTGTAAAGACCTGGTGCTTGGGGCTCCCCTCACACATTCGGGATGGAAAAAAATGTAACTGACTGAAACATGGAGTAGAGCGGGAGGTGAGGATGGATGTGATTGGAAAGGTTATCAAGAACTGGAGAAATATTTATTGAATTGACTCAAAATTGACCAAGAAGTCTCAATAACAGTGATTTCAGCACTATGCTTTTAGCCAAGCTTTTTTTTTTTTTTTAATTATCTTGGATTCTGAAAATACAGCTCTAAAAGCACTATTCAACAAATGCAAACTGAGTTCTGGAGATTTTTCCTGCTATTTATCTACTCATCTGAAGGAAAAACATTGCCCTGAGGTCTGGGGTTGTTATTTAGGTCCCGTTGAGTTGAGTCTGACTCATAGCGACCCCGTAAACAATAGATCTGAACCCCTATCTCATTCTGTGACGTCCTCACCGTTTCTGATGTGCTAGAGCCCATTGCAGCAGTCACTGTGTCGGTCCATCTGGATGAGGGCCTTGTTCTTTTTTGCTGACCTTCCACCTTTATAAGCTTGATGTCCTTCTCCAAGGAATAGCTTCTTCTGACCACATGCCCAAAGTATGTGAAACGAAGCGTTGTCACCTTTGCTTGCTAGGAGCATCCTGGCTGCACTTTCTTCAAAACATATCTGTTCTTTTGTCAGTCGATGGAATATTCAGTACTCTTCTCCAACACCACAGCTCAAAGGCATCAATAATCTTTCTGTCATCTTTATTCATTGTCCAGCTCTCAGATTCACACTCGTAGCTGAAAAGACCATGCCCTGAATCAGGTGCATTTTAGTTTTCAAACTTACAGCACTGCTACTCAGTAATTTGTAAAGAAACAATAATTTTGTATGTGTGAGGTCTGCTGGGAGTATAGAAATGTGACATTTTGGTGGCATCTTTAAATTTCACTATTACTCTGGATCAATCTTTATATTACTTTGAAGTGATGGCCGTGTATAGCTTGCTTCCTCTAAAAACAATCCAACATCATTCTGGTCCCATATTTTCTAATATTGTTGCAGATTCTGTTTTCCCTTATTATTTAATAAGATTAACAATAGAATGAAAATACCAGGAAGGCAGGACGTTGTTCATCAATGTTCTGTCCCTTATATCCTGCAAGGAATACTGTAAACACTATAGATATTTGTTCAATAAATGAATAAAGCTAATTAGCCTTGTTATTTACCCATGCCATCAGAAACATTCCTAAATGTAATATTCAGAGGGAGTGTAACATTCTGGGAATAGACAAGGGAGAGAAAAAGGGCAGGAAGCACACTGAAGAGGCCGCTGTAGTAACTGCTCCACATGGGAGCTGCTGAGAACTTGCCCTAGGCAGTGGCAGTGAAAACTGAGATAAAGGCAGGAGGCGAAGCCTCAATACTCACTAATGTCTAATATATACTCGAAACATGAATAATCTCTTATTATGTATGTGTTTAGGAGTCCCAGTGTTGCAGTGCTTCATATCGTGGGCTGCTAACCAAAAGGTTGGCAGTTTGAGCTTTTCGGTCACCCTGTGGGAAAAAGATGACTGATTCTATAAAGAATTACAGCCTTGGAAATCCTAGGGACAACACTACTCTGTCTGTATATAGGTTGCTATGAATTAAAGTTGACTTGTTATATGTGGGTTTGGATGGAGTATATTTAAACATCTGAGGATGTGTGCATAAAGGAAAAGATAGAAAGAGTGAGTTAGAGAGAGGGAGAGGGAGCAGAGTGGGAGAAAGCGAGGGGAGAGACAGAATGAGAGAAAGTGAGAGAGAGATTGCTAACTTTGAGGAGTGAGCTCTCCCAAAGGCATCTAGAAAGAAAGATCTGATAATATAATATCCAAAATACAGTCATTGAAAGCCCTATGGAGCATAATTCTATTCTGACAGGTTCACTATAAGATCTACTAGGTGCTAACTGGTTTAATTTTCATGCACACAAACACCCCTTCGTATTTCATTCATTTACTAAATACCAAGAAACCTGTATAATTATATTATATCCTATGTATACTCCCTTTGTTGTTTTCTCTCATTCAACGATGGTTGTTGTTGGCAGAAATACACCTTCATCAGAATTTTCACCAAGGTACAGACTGCTCATTTTAAGATGAGAAGGAATGATATTGTACTGGATGAAGGAATGGTGGAATCATTAATGGAGCTGCCAGAGCAATACAATTACGGCATGTATGCCAAGTTCATCGACGACTACGGCACGCATTACATCACATCTGGATCAATGGGCGGCATTTATGAATACATTCTGGTCATTGACAAGCAGCGCATGGAATCAGCTAGTAAGTAGAGCAGAAGTTTCATGTACACAATGACCAACACATGCATCAGGTTGTGATTTGCAGTTTTTCTAGCTTTGGACTGAAGGTCATGCATGAGCTTATTTTATTTTTATGATAAGCCTATAAGGAAACAGAGATGTTATTAAATTTAGAGGCCTGAGATGCAGAAGAGTGAAAGAACTTGCTAGTAAGTCTAAGTGCTGCAAACATGATTTGAACTCAGACTTGTTTCTCCCACCAAACAACATTGTTTGTATTACATGATAGTTGCCTTTTAATAGTAATGAATCTTTAAGATATTATTATTTTTCCCCTTTTTAAATTTTATACTGATTTATTTTAAAAGTTCATATACATTGTTTTTCACACAAGATCTTTCCCATTTTCTTCACCCTCCCCACCCATGAAATTGATACTGTGACTAACAGTTCCTCCCTCCCCGTCCATTCTCATCCCTCGGCTTCCACTTCCCCCTGCCTTGGATTCTCATATTCATTCTACAATAATGGTTTTATACAGTATTTGTCCTTATGAGACTGAGTTAGTTCACCCAGCATAAATCTCTCCAGTCCTTCCCAAGTGAGGTAGTAATTTACAAAATCATTGCCCCTGTGTGCTGCGTAGTATTCCATTGTGTGAATGTGCCATGACTTCTCAATCCAGTCATTTGTGGTTGGTCATTTAGGCTGTTTCCATGTTCTTATCATGGTAAATAATGCTGCTATGAACATTGGTGTACAAGTCTCCATTAAAGCCTCCGTTCTCATTTTCTCAGGGTATATTCCAAGCAGTGGAATAGCTGGGTCATATGAAATTTGTATGTTCAGCTTTTTGAGGAAGCACCAAACTGCCTTCCAGAGTGGTTGTACCATTTTATAATCCCACCAACAATGTATAAGAATTCCTATCTCACCACATCCTCTCCAACATTTATTATTTGCTGTTCTGTTAAACTTTGCCACTGTGTTATCGGTCTTTTTCTTGTGGAGGCCCAGAAGTATTCTATAAACTTTCATTATGGGACTCAAGATCTTGCTATTTAATTTTTTTTTAACTGGTTTTAAATGTTGATTCTTGGGTAATGGAGCCATTGCAGAATTAATTATTGAAGCTAGAAATCCAGAATTGTGTCACATTTCCCCTTTTTCATTATCCTCCCTAAAATAGATATCCAGGGACTTTCAATTCTCTCTCCTGAACTAGCCTCATCCAGACCCTGGCCTCCTCTCCACTCCGAAGTTATAGGCTAGTAGCTTTCTTTCTCTTATTCAGTATTTCAACCTCTAAGTGTTCTCTGCTTTTGGGCTCATCCCTTCAATCCTTCCTTCTCAATTGCCACCAGAATCTACTTTACAAACTTGATGGTATAATTTCCTTGCCTAATATTCTGGGTAGCTAAGTCTAAAATTTGAACTCTACAGTGTGATATCAACACCATGTATTTGATGTCCCTCCAAACTAGCTAAAATAGTGATTCTCGTAGTATTGGCTCTAGACTCAGCAGGGATCTTGTTAAACATGCAAATTATCAAATGTTTATTCTAGACCTACTAAATCAGAGATTCTGAGATTATGACTGTTGTTGTTGCTGTTGAGTGCCATCGTGTTCGAACTGACCCATAGCTGACCCTCCAGCAGCTTTTCAGAGACTGGCAATTGCACAGAAGGAGTTTGCCCATCTTTCTCTTGTGGGATGGCTGGCGGATTAGAACTGCATGCCTTTGGGACTGCAGTGCAGTTTCTTACCACTAGGCCACCAAAGCTAATAGAGATTGACACTAAGAGTTTATATTTTAACAAATATTCGAGGTAATTTTGGTGCCTACTACAGTTTAAGACCCACAGACCTAGTTAATGGCTGAGTATCAGATCTGTATATATTTCACAGTCAAGTTCAGACTCCTGGTTCCAAGAAGTTGCTAAGAATACACTGTTGTTGATTGCCTTTGAGTTGAGCACAACTCATAGTGACCCTATGAACAAAAGGCCTGAAGGCCCTCCACAACTATTGATATTTATCCAAGTTCATAGGGTTTCCAGAGGCATGTTGTTTAGGAAGTGGATGCCACTCCTGCTTCCAAAAGACTACACTAGCCTAGGCTTATTGTCCCCTTTCCTCAACACATTTTTATATATTCTACTTTCTCAATTAGCTAAAGAGTTATTTTTCAGATGTTATTTCTCATCCAGATACTGACATTGTTTGGGTTGGTTTTTTTTTAAAAAAAAAATTTCTTTTATACTAGTGAGCTTCAAAATTTGTATAAACTGTTTTTCACACTGGATTTTTCCCATTTCCTTTACCCATCCCTCATTCCACCCATCAAATTGTGCAACCCTATGATTAACCCCCCACCTTGCCCATCCTCACTCCTCTGTCCCTCACTACCCCACATGGATCCTCATACACGTTCTACAATAATGGTCTTATACAGTATTTGTCCTTATGGGATTGAGCGAGTTCACTCAGCATAATGTTCTCCAGTCCCTCCCAAGTCAGGTAATGATTTACAAAATCATTGCTCCTGCATGCTGGATAGCAAAATTCTTGAAGATAAATATCCCATTTGATAAATTTCTAGTCTGTAGGGATTCAACATGGTGAGTATGGTGGGGGGGAGAAGTTAGAATTTGAGCCAAAACACAAATCCCACTGACGTCAACAGAGTCAAGCTCTGTCCTGTGGAGTTTCCAGGTCTTTTAACTCTTTATGGAAGCAGATGGACTGACGACAGATGACGTATCTTTATCCCTCAGAGCATCTGGTGAATTCACACTGCTGGCCTTTTGATCTGCAGTCTAGTACTTAACCATTGCATGACCAGGGTTCCCAAAACCAAAAAGAAAAAAAGAGCATTGAAAGGAAGGTAGTAGGTTTTAGTGTAGTGTAGAGAGCTCTGGTGGCCCAGCTGTAAGGAGTCGTGGTGCCAACTCAAAGGCAGGAGGTTTGAACCCACCAGCTGCTCCTCAGTAACAAGGTGGGCAATCTCCTCCCACATGATTTACAGCTTCTGAACACCCTCTGGAGGGTCAGCTAAGAGTCAGTTCTGACTTGACGGTACACAATAATAAGACATGGATTATAGGTGGTGAAATTAAGTTATTATTTGTAGAAATCTTTTCAAGTTGAGTAAATACATGTCTAATGTCCTTTATCATGATATAAAGTAGCTTCCTATAGAGTAGATGAACCTTTAAATAATTATATTAAGTACTATCTCAACTATTGTTGTTAAGCTCTAAATCCTTCTGTACCTTGTGTTGTTGAACTATACCACTTACATGAAATGTCTAGAACTTACAGTTGTGGCCTAGTGGGTAAGAAGTTGCACTGCCAACTCAAAGGCAGGCAGTTCGAATACACTAGCTGCTCTGTGGGAGAAAGCTGGGCAATCTACTCCTATTTGATTTGCACCTGCTGAAAACCCCCTGGAGGATCAGCTGTGAGTTGCTTCTGACTCGATGGCACATAACAACAAGTAGAAATGAAAGTTTCTTGGTATGTGCAGGGACACACAGGAAGGAGGCGGGTGGAAAGGAAGACATAATGCTGAGGGAATATTGAATATGAAAGGATGGATGTGATGGTTGACCAAAGTGATGAACATAATTAATACCACTTATTGTACATGTGAAGATTTTTGAAACAGCAAACATGGTGTTACCTGTTTATGCAAACCCCCACACACAGGTAAAGATGCAGCTTACTATGCTTTAATGTGGAAGGAAAAGTTTGAAATACTTTACTCAAGTGAGTCTTTTTAGAATCTTTCATAAACATGAGGAAGGAATAAGAACTGACATGTACAGCATAGCTACTAAGTTCCAGGTGCTGTGGTATATGGTCTCATTTAACCTTGCCGACAATGCTTTGAGTTTAGTGACAGCCCAGTTTGATCCACAGGAGAGCTGAGACTGCTCACAGAGGTGAATTACCTTGCTCAGGGCTGCAAGGAGCCGTGAGACCCCAGGAACTGTACGGTTTCCACCACGTGGTCCTGGCACAGCCTCTTATTTGGCCTCCTGTCTTTGGTGTTGGATTACTAATTAATTGCCTGGGGTATTTGGTGGCCCCACCTCTTTAAAATCTGTGAGGCAGAAATGGGCTTCCAATGTGGTTAATATTCAAAAGGAGCCCACCAACAAATTGTCCCAGGGATAATTACCTCAGTTCTGTTTATAGAAAACCATATGTCGATAATAGCACAATTTGCTATTTGTGAAGAGCTGATTTTCTATAAATCCAGAAAGTTAGTGTTGCTTTTCTATAAATATGGAAATGTGCTAATCATCACCTCATCTGCTGGAGATCGCTAATAAATCAGAATTCCATTTACATATTAACCTACAAAGAACAAAAACATCCACCTTCTTTCCCCTGATAGAATCACCCACGACGGTTCTCCATGTTGGCTTAGTCTCCTCATTGCCTCTCAACTTCTTTCCAGGGGATTTTCTCTGCTTCATTTCTTCTTCTTCCTCCTACCTTCTCTTCTCTCGCTCCTACCTCTTTCCCTGTGTTTCCGTCTTTCCTCTGTGTCACTTTCTTTTTCTATGTCTCTTTAATGGCTATGGCTTTAACAATATTTATATTTTATTAAATGCTTGTTTCTCAGAGATTTCGTGTATGCTCTTGCATTCATGTCCTCAAACGACTGAGCTAGGTGTGCAATGATTTAAGTGAACACAGTGTCTGTTTTGCTCTGGGGGAATCTTTTGTCCTTGGGCTTGCCTCAGATCCTCTCTGGGTTCATCCCAGAGGATGCAAAAGGCTGTTTGCTTCTAATGTGTCCTTTAGATAAACTGCCTCTCCCCCAAAGACAGCGTGAAACCATGCATCAAAAATCAAGGGGAGCCTTAGATGTTGAGGAGGCATGTTAAACTTCAATGAGATCCTAGAAATTTCATCAAGGGCTGGGACTGACAGCTTGCCACCTCCTTCAGGAGCCAGTATGGCTTAGGGCTTGAATTTCTGGATTTAGATTTTTTTTTTCTCCTTC